AACAGCTTATTTCTAAATAAATTTCATACTCATGCAACTCTTTCCAGTTTGTTATGAATTCTCAGAAACCATGTCCCAAAAGAAACAATTACCATACAAATACCTTATTAGCTCCAGTCTTCAGTTTTCCCTCAGGAATTAATAAAGATTAAGCCTGACACATTCACATGACAGACGTGGAACACGAGGCGCAGAGTTCGTAATAACCACCCTCCACACTCTTCGTGATAGAAACCTCAGGGCAGCCACTGTGTTTTGAAAAATGAAGATGTGAAATGGAAGGGGAAGTTTTGAAGTAAAGTTAGATGAACACGTTAGGAATTAAATAGGGCCAAAGGAAAGTAGCTCGGAGGCAAGAAAGGAGTTCCTTCCACATTCTTGTGCCTATGACCCTGTGGGTAAAAGGTCACCATTCAAATTTGTGTCAGAAGGAGTTTATATCTCCCAATGTCTTCAGTTTCAAAAAAAACCAAAACAAAACAAAACAAAAAAAACCCCCACAGGTTCTGCAACTTACAAAATTGCAGATTAAGAAAAAAAGCCCAAACATGCAGAAATAAATAGTACCATCATCTGCTTGAAGTGGATTAGTGACATACAAGAGAACTTAAGTGTCTGTATTTTCCACCAATTAAGACATGCTTTCCACATTTAAGACATGCTTTATAGACAAAGTAATTTACATTATATGAAAAAAAATTGATTATTCAAGGAAAACTCCTCTATTTTTAGTCAAAAGCATCCTTTAGTCCAATTTATACTAGTGAGTGAGGAAATTTTAAATCTAGCTCTACATTCAACAGTATAGCTGCAATTATAACCCTTATGTTTTATATAAGCTGCCTTTTTTAATGCAAAACCCTCTTCCTTTTTGAATCAAGTGCCTAAATAACATAAAGAGATTAAAAGATCTGGAAGAAAAAAATAAAGCTATTAGAAGCCTGCCCTTATTTCCTTGGCTTTCAGAGGAGTACATTGAATTAAAATCTCTTATGTGTTGCAGATGAAAAGATCGTTTGTACCAGCAGTTAGGAATAAGTTAGGCAAAGTCAACCTACAGAAATAATCAGCAAAGCTACCCCAGAATAAAACTGTCATGCAGTTGAAAGTTAATTTGCATTAATATTAATGCCTGGGGGAAAAAAGGTTTGTTTTAAAATTCAATTGCACGAATGTGGTTGCTGACTGCCTTGGCAACAAGCAGCCTGCACACACTCCTTGTGCCTGCCCTGACCCCACAAGGGTTACTCTGACATAACCAGTATCTCTGCAGCCATCATAATAACCATTTACCCCCCAAAAAACCATCATAGAACCACAGAATCATAGAGCACCTTGGGTTGGAGGGATTAGTAAAGATCATCTAATCCAAGCCCCCTGCAATGAGCAGCAGCATCTTCAATTAGATCAGCTTGCTCAGAGCCCCATCCAGTCTGACCTTGGATGTTTTCAGGGATGGGGCATCCACCATCTCTCTGGGCAACCTGTTCCAGTGCCTCACCACTGTCCTAGAGAATAATTTCTTCTTAATATCCAATCTAAATCTACCTTCATTCAGTCTAAAGTCATCATTCCTTGTCCTATCACAACAGGTCCTGCCAGAAGGTTCCCCTCCAGCTCTCTTGCAGGCTCCCTTTAGGTACTGGAAGGCTGTTATAAGATATAGCCAAAGCTTCCCCGGCTCCCTCAGGGTGTCTCCATAGAAGTGCTCCAGCCTTCTGAGCATCTCTGTGGCCCTCTTTAATGCTCACTCCAACAGATACATGCCTTTCCTGTGCTGAGGACCCGAGAGCTGGATGCAGCACTGCAGATGGGGCGTCTGTCATGAGAGGAGAGTAGATTAGAATTCAACCTACTGGCCACTCTTTTTTTGATACAGTTCAGGATACAACTGGCTTTCTGGGCTCCAAGTACAGCTCAGAAATATGTAACTCCAGAACACATTATTCCTACACACTTGCATTCAGTAACATAATGTTCTTCTCTGGAAGGACAAACACCCTCAAGGCAACTGAGGACATGAGTGGAATAATCATCCTCTTCATGACTTCTGGCAACTCTAAGTACCTCTTGTACCCATGGCTTACAAAATGGCACATAGTTACCACAAGCAAATGCTTCACTGCTATTTAAGTAGCTTCAGGGTGACCATGAAGACAAAGCCCCACTGGACATCTCCAAAATTTGCCTTAAGGCGTGATTCAGCTACTAGCCCAGGAACCCAATGGCCTGCTACCTTCCAAACATCTTCGAAAGAGCAACTTCTTGAGGCACTTGATGTAAATCAGTGCTGCTCTCAAAAAAGCAGCCTGTTTGCCCCCACATCACAGCCAGGAATCAGCTTTTTGTGCAATGCCAACTTTCAGCTGCATCAGGCAGCACAGCTAGTGGTACAGAGAAGGCAGGATTGCACAGCAAAGAGGAGGAAGGCCTGGACTACCTCTGGTGTCAGCAGCCCACCTTAGAACAGTTTAAGCTGGTATCTATGGATATGACCAGGCAGAGCAGCCTCTGCTTGTCAGTAACAACTGTTACAGACAGACAGCAGAGCCTTTGCAAATGCCCTGGGCAGAGCATGCAGCCCTTGGGAGATGCTGAATTCACCAGGAGGTTATCTGTCCACGGTGGTCATCAACCTAAAGGGGTTGTCATCCACACCCTCTAATAAATGTATTTCTATTTCTTAAGACAGGCTGTCACAGCTTTTGCAGGCAGTTGCTTTTCCACAAGGCTACATAAACACCCTATAGTACAGGAATAACTTACATGGCCAAGAGGTGCTAAAGGTAGGAAATTCCACCCTTGTGTGATGGTTTCCTCCTTCTAGGGAGTACAGCCCAAAATTGTGTCAGGAGTGACAAGACCCATGTATGTAGGGATCAGACCCCTCAGTGAAGTCTTCTGATGAAGGAATAAGCACTGGAGAAGCCAGTGAGCCAGGTTCCTGTCTGCAGTGTTGTGACGTGAGCACTCCCTGTCTGCTGCTTCATGTCCTGTACACGCTCCTGTACATGTCCTGTCCTCTTTCCTGCTCTGGGACTGGTAGGAGTTGTGCCTGGCCTAACCTTTAAACACAGAGGTGAAGGGTGAGAGAAAAAAAGATGCTGTCAAAGACCAATCCAAACCACTGACCAGCTGTCAGTTTTGGGTTGGAGAGGCATACAGCTATGGATGCTCTACTTTATTGATCAGTGCTAATAAAAATAAGAACTGCATAAATATAGGAAAAGTTCAAACAGCTGAGAGCAAGTGGCAACCAGCACACTATGATGGATAGAACTGACCATGCATAAGCAGGTCTGCCAAGGGTCTCCAGCTCCAGTCAATGTCCTTAAGGAAACAAGAATGTTTAGATATCTCAGTTGAGTCCTTTAGGGTCAGAAATTCAAGGCAGCAATTCCAAATTTGCATATACAAGATGCCTGGCCTCCAGAAACAGCAGTGTCCCTGTTAATGGAGAGAGGCATGCACACAGGGGCTTTTGCTGTACCATCTTCCCTGTATGCACACTGGCAGAATACAGTGGAAGATGCTCCGGGATGTGCCTCTGCTGGGCCAGGTGTACCAAGGGTTTGAATAAAAGTGGGTCCAGCTCTTGCAGCAAGTCACATTGGCAAGGCAGTGGGCATATTCCAGCAACTCAACACTCCCTTATAACATACCACCTGCTCACAGAGCCTTGACTTTCTTGATCAACTTACAGGCTAAAACCTGCATTTCAGTGAGCCCATGGATTAGAAACAATTCTCAATCCTTCCTAACAGTCCCAATCTATCACTGTTTTGTCATCTTTGTAGACATTGCAGCCAGAGCTCTGAATTCACAGAACACTGATTCAACATTTGCTATCCATTTTAAAAAGATCAGCAGGAGTCACTCGAATTGTGAATAGTTTGGGAGATTTAAAAGAGCTCATGCAAATGTGCAGTAGCACTTTTCAGCTAGTGAAACATGAAAATTGGTTGTGTGAAAGTACATTGCTTCCAAAATCCCACAAACACAGGAAAAAAAAAGTAGTAACAGAAAATCCAAATGGACATAAATTTCAGTGTGTGAAAAAGACAATTTTATTTAGCATAAGATTAAAAAAAAAAAAAAAACCCAAACATAATAATATTTAATAAGGTCTGAAGATATCTCATGCCTTCTAAGTCAGGACACAATATTTTTTAGATCAAAGAGCAGTATTACACATCTCTCATCCTTGTTATGCTTCATTGTCAAGATAGAAAAGGTCCTAAATTGAACCTGCCCTGTAATTCGCTACTCAGCAGGCAGAACCATGTCTTCTTGCAGCAAAATATATTTTTACAGTATCCTGGAGAACTGTACCTCTGTCCTAAGTCACTGGGCACTATTTACCTTTTCTCATCCTCGCTGCAGGTACAGTTACACACCTAAGGGGTCACTTCCAGCATGTTTAAGTGGTTTAGCACAGGCGTACCCCGGCCGAACCCGCTGGGTCGTGCCTGCTGCTGCTCGGCCCGGCCCCACAGGAGGCCATTTTCCAGAGCACTTCCGAATCAATTCTTCCTCCACCTCCTGCTCCCGCTGCCGCCCGGGGACTTTCCCCCCAGCTGCACAAGTCATCTTGTCCCCGTCCCATTCCAGCAGGCGGGCATGCTTCCCCTGACAATCAGCTCTCCCCCATCTGCGGTGGTGGATACACATCCCCACATCCATCAGGCTGGCCGCGGTGCGCGAAGGATCCCGTAACCTCCTTCTCCCACTAGATGCTACCCACTGAGCGCGTTTGCACCTCCCAGCCCCTGCATCTTTTAGCTTTTAACAGCTGGGCTCAGCCCGACCGCGGCAGGGCCCTTCTCAAAGGGCCTATGGCGACCGGTACGCCGGCAGCCGCGTGTTCCCGCCGGGATCCGTGCGGATTCCCGGGGCCGCCCTCAGCCGCTGCCCTCAGCCCCGCCCGGCCCAGGCGCGCG